ATCAAGTCTGCCAAAAAAGTCGGTGGAAGAAGTGAAAAACGGCGGAGCTGCTACAAGCTCTAACAAAAGAAGACTTCCAGCATTGCTTTGACCAATGGAAAAAACGAATGGAACGTGTGTGGCAAGGGAAGAGGAATATATTGAAGGATAGTGTCCGACTGTAGAATCATTTTTAAAGTAACTCTTTTGCATAAGCAGTCTTGTTATTTAATGGCCATACGTCGTAATCCTTCTTTATATATAATGTATTTTTTTTTTGACTTACTAGAAACAATATTTCTATTTGTTATGTAGTTAAATAAATTACTCTATGTAGTAGTTGTTCTTCAGATTCTTTCTTTAGCCTGCTGTGTCAAGATCATGATTTTAATTCCACAGAAATGCAGGATATAGAAATGAATTATGTAAAAACGATATATATGTATTATGTTATACAACTACGGAGCTTTAACAGGATGAACGTTGCGATAAAAATGATCGGATACTTTTCGGTAAATACGTTATTCAAGTGAAATATGACTTCCCTTCCCACATAAAATCCAACCCAAGTAACAATTTAGGTTCTAAAAAGGTTATAAAAAACTCCCAGAACCTGTTTTAGAAATATTATTGCTCATGCCATTAAGCACAACTAACGTTATTTCTTAGCCCGCAGAACCTCCTGTAGCAAAAAAAGGCCCAGCCCTGAAGAAGTTGTCGTTTCCAATAGGCCCTGGCCAATTTGAAACCAGATCGCATATCACAGAACTTCATAGGTAACAGAAATAAACTTTAAAGATGCCTAAAAATAACCTTTTTACGACCTAAAAGATTTCAGGCCTACCTGTTTATAACCCTATAGCAAAATGCCTTTTAGTTGGTTAATTTGACCTATTCGTGGGCTTTTGGCATTGCAGATACATCAAAAAGCATTAAAATTGAACCATTTAGTTTTAAATATGGTATAGCTTCGGCAAAAATAAGACAAAGAGATAAAAGGCAATGCATGCATGCATAGCGACATTTTCAGTATGAATCTATTTCAGAAAATATATATTGTTATACATATTATGACCGATATTTCCATTGCGCACACCAGTTCGTCGTTAAAGTTAGGTGTAATTTAGCTGTAAAACACACGGGCCTTTGATATCTAACTAATTAATGGTAATTATGTGTCAAAAAAATATATATTTTTTTTATTCTGATGTATACTTCAATGAAAATATATAATTATATTCTCCAGTGTCTATAAATATATAAATTCTTTGCACTTTTCATCATTTTTACCTATATTTGAATAGCTTAAACAAATGGTAGTAATTACATTTTTTTTTTCATAATGGACGTCTGCCAGGTATGTTTACAAGCTGCTTTAATAGCTAAAGCAAGTATTGAAAGTTATGTCGTAGAACGAAAGGCTTAAAAAAATGCCAATTGGTTCTAAAAACAACTGAAACAGGGCTTACTAGCATCTTTCATTGCATAATGGCACTTTCAATGACCAATTAGCAGGTAAAGCCCGGGCGAATTCCAATAAATGGCTTCTATGCGTTCGGCAGGGTCTACTAGCATCATCTATTACTACGCGGAATTTCTTGACACCTCTTTATTGCCATTCAGTTTGTGTTTGGTTTTGGTGGTTACCGGAATTGTGCAAATAAAAGTGTTTTTAACTTTCATTAAAAGTGCATACAGGGTTGTATTTACATAAAAAGGTAAGTTCATTTTAATTCATATAATAATATAAGGGATTTTGACAAAGATAAAAGGTATAAATACAACGAAGTATGGCAATTATGTAATATTGTATGGCTCGGATAAATGCAACCATAACCAACCTAATGTGAAGCGATCCAGTGTTGCCGCGTCTCTATTTGCTAAAGGACCGTTCATACCTAATGTTAACGCTTACGCTACGGGACCGTTAAATTTTTGGTTTTACCGTTTGGATTCATGCTCATTCGTGCTCTTTAGAATAAACGTCACGATTAAAGTCGTGAACGTTCGCGAACGCTCTCCTCAAATAAACGAGATAATGTTCAATTGCTCACAACAGTGCAATTATGAAAATCAATTTAGTGAATATTTATATTTTGATTTATATACATTTCGCAGAAATTAACATATATAGTAGTTTTCATAGTTCTTAAGCACTAGCTCATTATTATTTTAACAAATTTAATAAAACAGTAGTAATCAAAGCATAAAACATTAAATAGTGAAATATTAAATAACGTCATGTTTTTGTGTACTTTAGACAATTCCTTTTAAGAATAGCGTATTTTTAATAAATATAAATACAGGGTGTCCGAGACAAAACAGTCCACCCCAATAAACTGCCACCCCTCCCAAATAAAAAAAAATAAAAAGCTCGGACCAGCCGATTTTTGTTTTGAGGGGACACTTAATAATCACAAAATCACGTTTATACTCACAAAACCCTAAGAGGGCGTGGCATCAACCCTAAAATCTTAAATAGGAAGGGGGGTCAACTGATACGTCATTTTAAAGGTATTTTGACCCCGAACATAACTGCCAAGTTTGAAGCTGCTACATGCATCTCCTTTCAAATGACAGCTTGTCAAAATGTGGAAAAATTCGGATGTTTTTTATAAAATCCTTCGTAAGGATTACAGTACATGTTTTAAATTTAGAAAATTTTAATAAGGGCTTAATATATAATAATACCCTTTTTATGAAATATCAATTTAATTTTTTGGAGGTGGTGAAGAAGGTGATTTTGTGATTATTAAGAGTCACCCTTAAAACAAAAATCGACGGGCCCGAGCTTTTTTTTGGGGAGGGGTAGTTATTTTGCGGTGGACTGTTTTGTCTCTGACACCTTGTATATTTATAATAAATAAAAAGTGAATTACTAAATTTTATTTTAAAAATATGCTTAAAATTGTGTCAAATGTATAAGTCTTTGGTTACTAATAGCAACAATACTATAATCCTTAAAAACAATAAATTTTAGTGTTTGTAATAGTCTTTTAAATAAAATTAAGCTGACTAGGTTCTGGAAAACTTATTAGGTTAAACTTTAACGTTCATTTTTTTACATTTACAACTTTTTTTTAGAAAATGCCATTTAAAGTGGTTCAAACAATCGAACGCGGAACGATATGTATATCAGCCGTCCCAAGTGGGTGGGAGAAAGATGGTACGCTATGGTGGCCTCCAAAATCCCAAATGGGGGCCGTATTAGATGAAAACTCCGTCCCAAAAGATAAGTGGAAATCATTTTCCTGTATCGTAAAAAGGCAGTTTGGGACATACAAAGAAGCATCAGAGGAAGCAGAAAAGATGGAAGCGGAAACGGACACGGAGCAAGAAGATCAGCAGGATACTAGAAAGCCGCAAGATGGCTTAACTATATTTGGGGATTTCAATTCAATATTGAATATACCCAATGAAATACCGCAAGTTGTAAGTTTCTTATTAATTTTGGGTTTATAGCAGACCAAATTAGGACAAAAACAGGGAATGTCACAAAATATTAATACTGATAATTACCGATTATAATTCAATTGGAAATTTGTCTTTTTCTCCTAAATCTCGTATTTTAGACGCGGCTCCTAACGAGCTGTGTCGTATTTTTCTACAGAATATGTGTTTACAATATAAAATAGATGATTCTCAACTAGATAGCGAGGCTAACTTAATTTTCTATATTTTGTAACATTCCTTGTTTGTCTCCCGTGGTCTTCATTTATGGCCCTAGGGCCCTGCATGCCCTAACGTAGGACGTCAAAAAAGCTCGGACATATATTTGATAACAACACATTTTTTCTTTTTAGGGAGAAACTGTTACATTGGATGACTGCAACATACAAACTCATTCATTCGTAGTAAGGAGCAGCCCGGAAGAAAACGCATTCGTAGTAGGGAGCATTAGTCAAGGTGAAGCATCTGAACTATTACAAAATCAAAGAAAGATTATTGCACAACTTGAAAAACAGGCTGGAGACACATCAAAAATCCTTTCTCAGTTGGCAAAACATGAAGCCTATTTTGGTGAACTGTATAGCAAAATGGGATTAGCTTCAGATACGGATAGCCATCATAATAAGAATAGTCTCTTAGTAGAGCGCTTTCCGCCTGTAAAAACAATAGATGAGCTGAAAGCCTTAGAAGAAAATCTTAAAGACTCCAATTTTGAAAAGAAATATATAAGCTCAATGTCCACTTTATGTTCACGCGGAACTAACATGAAGGGGCTGACCCTATGCTATAGACTCATAGATTTTTTTTTCTCCAGGGACTTGTTATTGCAATGTTCCTGGACGGGTAATTCCAGAAATCAAAACGAGTGTGAAAAGACTGCCTTCAAATTTTTTGAAAGGATTAGGTCTACATTTTTTTTTGTCGTACATAACTCCGACCAAACATTTAGCAAAATAGAATGCGACCAGTTTTTTAAGAGAGTTCTGAAAAATTCAAAGCAAAGGTTAGCTGCCAGCCTAAGTCCTCAATGTACGAAGAAGAAATCAGTTGAAAACCTTAAGCGGAAAAGAACAAGGTCGCCTACAGATAATGACCACATAGCCAGAATGAAGTTAACGTATAATGAAGAAATCCTAGTACCGCCGAGAAGTCAAGCAGATCTACCGCTGAATCAAGATGCACAGGCAAGCACTGTTTCTGGGAAGGAAGCAATAATACTGTCGACAGATCAATTAACAGATAGGCTATCTCCATTAGACTCCTTACCGAACGATGAAAATCCAGACGATTAAAAAAAATTAACATTTCTAAACAGACTGAGAATCTTTTTTTTTTTTTGTTAGTGGCAGTACTGTTAAAAAAAAAATTAACCAACATTTTTAAACAGACCGCGAATATTTTTTTTTGTTAGTGGCAGTACAGTAGCCGATTTTCATTATTATGTTTCACGGTACGTTGGATTTAAGTTATACTTACTTACGCAGTTATGTTTTCGGTTTTTTTACTTTGTGTAAATGTTATAGTTGGCTAAGGCAAATATGAATAAAAATATCAATTTAAATAGAACGTGTTTATTTACAAAGAGTATGCAGTAGAGGCACAAACACAATTTGATCCTTATATATTATATGCACTAACTTACATTTAATATCAGACATCTTAAATGTCTCTTTTGATTTAAATTCAGCTCTAGCAATATATATATTAAGAAAAGTAGAATTAACCGGTGTTAGAAAAAAAGGCGCGGCAGCTTTAACTTTCTTTCCACTGATTAAATAACTAGCTTTTAATCTTGCCACCGCTTCAAAGTACACTATTTCATTTTGTTTAGTTAAAAACCACCTGTTTTCATCACTTCCGCCAAGACAAAATCCTTCAAAAAAAATCTTTTTAAAGATAGTTGTGGTTTCACCTGGTTCAATAATATTGCGAAGGAAGGTATCATCCGTCACATTTTTTAAACATGGATAGGTAGGCAATTCTTTATTTTCCCAGAGATCAAAACTTTGCTTTTCACTCAACCGATTTGCTATTTGTGCCAATGGTTTATTACCATTTCTTATCATGTTTTTAATTTCATACAATTTTGATTCAAAAGGATAAGCGGAAAATTTTGTTAAATTTCCCAGCACTTTAACGTCGTCTATTAAATGTGTTAAATTATGGATGTTACTGGTAATAAAGAATTCACCGTATATACTTGAATAACAATGAACGAAACGGTCTAATAATGCTTCAGCAACATGAACATAGTCTGAGTAAAAATCTGTAGAGCAAATTGTTATAGCACAAAATAAACCTAGAAAGTGTTCATAAACACGAGGTTCCAATACATCTCTTAAGATAGTGATTCCGATGTACAAAAGAAAATTTCTATATTCCAATCCTTTCCAGTAGGACAATACATCCAGCCCTCTAGTTGCTCTATGAAGCTCTTTGGGTAACTTTATTTTTAGCATCTGCATTGAGACACCTTCCGTTACCTTTGCAGACCATTTTAGGGATTTATTTTTATAAGTACCATCACGCCAACCTGATAATAAAAATAAATTAAATTATTGATCAGGATGGAAGATGGATGAGTACAAGAGTTAATAAAAATATCTTTACCTGTTAACAACCGTTTCATTATTCCCAAATCTATCAAATGAAGAGAGTCAGCTACAGGAAAACAATATATCATGTCAATTGGAAGTTTTAAGATTACAGAGTCAGTTTTATGATGGTATTCATCTTTCTTCAAGCGAAATTGTTCATCGGTTCTTTTTGAAAATTTTTTATTTGGATAGTAATTACTGTGCGTTATATGGGAGTACTCTCCAACAATGGTACACTTTTGGCATCCATGTTGAGAATTAAAATTTGCTACACCTAAAATTAAACAAATATTAAGTATAGAGAAAAGGTGGAACGTCTGACATTTTGGAGGCAACATATCTGGAAATTGTAGTAGTAGTAGAACGAGGTTATATGCCGCAGAGGGAAATATTTATGTGTCATTTTGCTCCAAGCTTTCTGGATTTTCATAATAACGACATGGAAGTTTTTAAAGCAACGTACTATACACTGTCTTATTCTCATAAACAAAAGTGTCCATGTAGGTGTTACGAAAATAGAGAGGGCTTGGAACAGAATAAGGCATATTACCCCTGCGACGTATTATCCCGTTTTACTTTACTATCGGGAAGTAGGTGTCAAAATTTGTTTACAAAAAATGTATTTATTATTACATACCTTTAACAAAAGACCTTGCTGGCGAATCACATATAAAACACTTTAATTGTACGTGTATTTTATAATCGCCGATCACCACACCATTATTCAATATTAGCAATAACTCCTCTACAAATTCAGATAAAAACTCATTTAAATTGCTAGGCTTTCCCTTCCCATAATATATGCCAATTATCATAGGCTTACATGAAATTTCATTGACGTTAAAAAGTATGGGCCACAATTCGTATTTCGAGGAGTTGAAAATCGGCAATCCGTCAATGTTTATATTTATAGAAATATTCTGGCTTTTTTTCATGTTATGATATAATTCTAGCAAACACTTAGTTAATCCATTATGCCAATATTGACCTCCAGCAATATCCCGTACATTGATTTTACATGGAGTAGCCAAGAAAGTTCTAGGGTCCCTCGGAAACTTGACCTCTGTATTTTTATTTAAAATTTGTAAAAGATCTTTAATGGCAACGTGATTAATGTTATACTTCAGTGCCCACTCTTTTAGATCTTGTTTAAAATCAAACTTCTTTAAGTCATCCGTTTCACCTTCATCGAAATCCAATGAGCTCGCCGGTTGTTCTGAAGCCAGGTCTTCTATTAAGCCACTGGTACTGGTATCCTGAATATTTAATTCTTGGGGATCAGTAGATTGAGTACCAATAAGACCGTCATTAGTTAATTCGCAAAATTCTTCATATTCTGTATTATTTGCAAACTAAAAATTTTTTACGCTATAGAGTGGTCATCAATTTAAAAGCCATATTTACCTGACTAGTTGTGATTCGCTGTAAATTTCGTTTTACTTTTCTTTTAAAATTACCACTTCTAACAATTTTGTGCCAAGACATCACTGTATTTACAAAGGCTGCAGTAGTGGAACAACGTGGGAATTAAAAGCCGCGACCGTCGCTAAACGGTGTTTTACTGTGACTAGTTGGTTATACCTTATCCCATAAAGTTATATTTCTATCCACATGACTTTTTGCAACTCCTTTAGGTGTTAATAAATGCTATATTGCCTTAAATAGGCCGCATAAAGTGCCAAACAGTTAAGCAATTGTTTCATGACCAAGTGGCTCTGAATAGGTAATTTTTTTGCTAAAATGGTTCTATTTTGGAATTTTGGTTGCCAAAATAATGCTAGAATTTAACTTTTCCAAAACCTAATGATCTCAAATCCATTAGGCCCTCGTTTAAGGCCATAACAGCGTTATTGTTAACTCTTAACTAAATCTAATATAACTTTTATTTAACTTAAAGATCCTAGTTCCTATTAGGACAATATTTAACTTGAATATTTCCATCAAGCAAGGCAATGACTATTACAGAACCTTTATGCGGCTAAAAGGCAACTTTAAAAACCAACAGCTTAGGAAAATGTTACTTGGGAAGTAACTGATCTGAAACCATTCACTATACTATAATGTTCGTTCAATTCAAGTGGATATAATAACAAGACTGTAATATTAGCATAGAGCATTCACCTAAAATTCTTCACTTCTACAACAACAGGAAGTTGGGGAATCTCGGCCTACTTAGTTTCGTTTTTGTTTTATGATTAGTGAGTGTGACGTCGACAACCGGTGAGTGGAACTTCTTCAAAGCCAACTAACCACCTGTGATTGCATGTGGTATTAAATTACGAAAAGAAATACACAATTTTTGTAGATTTGTTGTATTAAAATAATTATCTGTAAGATATTACTAGATTATTTATTGTAATATTATTGTGTTTAGGTGTTTGTAAAAATGTTTGGGGTTTATAACATTCATAAATTTATGAAAGGAAAAAACCATGGTTCTTTATCCCGGACTGGCTTTCGATCGAAGCAATAATAACTTCTGCTGCGAGCTTTGAAACTTCGTAATAAAATTTTAAAACTACCAGTTTCAAGTAATCCAACGTATGAATAAAGATCGTGAAAATCAGAAAGATGACATGCTTAGGGTATGCGATGCGCAATGAGAAGTATCAACTAATTCAACTAATTGTACAATAGGGTGGAACGAAAAAGGCCAAAAAAATAAAATAAAAAAAAATGATTGCGGCTATCGTTTAAAAGTTGTGTCAGGTAATGAAAACAAATGGTGCGAAAGCATTTTGAAATAAAAAAAAATCTTGAGGTTCCATATTGGATTTGAAAAATGAAAAAAACAAAAAAAATATTTTTGTTGAAAAAATCGATTTGGCTGTGATCAACAGTCGTCTTTAGGATTGAAAAGCATCTTATACAAAATTATTTTGAAATTAAACGATATTTTCAGGTTCCAGAGGCGTCATTTGATAGGGTCAAGGGGGCATTTGCCCCCTCCCCCTGGCCCTGAAAATGACTGAAATTTACAAAAAATAGATCAATTTTGTATTATGTTTGCATATATAATGTATGGTATATATAATGCTTGCCCCACCCCCATATCAATATTTCAAATGACGCTTCTGTCAGGTTCCATAATGCCATTGAAGCTTGATGGTATGAAGTACGTGTTCCAAACAACGCCAGTTGTAGATCAAGTAGGTAGAGAAGGGAAAAACGCAGACGCAGATGTTACATCAATCTTGCAACCATTCACGCAGGCATAGTGACACAACAACAGATAGTTGAGTTTCTTATCTCACACAGACGTGTCGTATATAAACATATTCTTCGAAATGTCAACGCGAAGTAGTTTGAACTGTGAAATACTAGGAACAATTATTGGCGTTTTCAATGATCGTGTTTTACCCACTAAGTGTGACATTCTAAAGTGCTTTCTCTTTATTCGTAATGAACTTAAGTTGACAAATAATAATAAAGATCCATCTATCGCCGACGCCTCGAATGCCGTTGCAACGAAAGTAGAACAAATATGGATAAAAGCTTATATTCCAACATTATCGCATAAGCGCATTCAAGATATGATCAAAAATATTTATACAGAGTATCAAAAGCTGAAGCGATACACAAAAACTCAGCAAGCATCTAATTCATACAAAGAAAAGATTTGCCAGTTTCGAAATGAGTGTGAAAAGTTATTTGATATCGCGGCTTGCAAGTGCAACATGAGTGGAACACTGTGTGAGTGTACTTGTGATAAAACCAAGAAAGTACCACAAAATGAGCGAATTTTTCTTCAACATCAACGATCCTGTAGAAAAATGGCAATTGGACCAGTGGATATTGCAGCATCTGCTGCAATAAGGAAGAAAATGGAAAGAACCACGAAGGCAAAGGCAAGTTCTCAAAAATATAATACTGAAAAAATTGTTCTTAAAGCATGTACCGTTGATTCCTCAAATCGTTCCATAAGTAGCAACTTGTCTGCCTCAAATTCTTCTGATGCAGATGATCATGAAGAAGAATTCATTGCCCCTTTGTCAACAGTTACAGTCCAACCATCTATGTCACAAATGCGGATTTGCTTGCCAAGTTTAGCTTCGGCGTGCGACAGAACCGGGGTCTCCGATCGTTCTGCTGCAATTCTAGCATCAGCGGTCTTAAAAGATATGGGAGTTATAACTGTGACATGATACATCGAAAGTAATTGATAGAATGAAAATAAGGCGACAGCGTGCATCTCATATACGTTCACTCATCTGCACATGGTACATCATCTGCAAATGCGAGAATAATCTTTGCTCCTCTGGCAGTTACGTCTGGTTTGACTCTGGTATAGATTTTTCGCATTGCGTATTCCAATGCTAGGTTAAATAGTAATGGGGACAGCGGGTCTCCCTGTCTGAGCCCGGTGCTTATGCCGAAAGCCTTTGAAGTTTTGCCTCCTATTCTAATTTGTGCAAAGGAATTGTTGACACACATTCGCGCAATCATGGTCAGCTTCTTTGGTACGCCTAACTCCATTATTGCACTCCACAGTTTTAAGCGATCTATGGAATCATATGCTTGTTTGAAATCTATGAAGATCTGGCTCTTTATTATATTCCCAATACTTTCTTAGCATTTGTCTGATAGTAAATATTTGGTCGATTGTTGATCTTCCAGGCCTAAAGCCGCATTGGTAATCGCCAATAATTTCCTCTGTATATGGCAGTAATCGTTTTAGTACAACTGCAAAAAACATCAATACATATAATACAGATGAGAATAGTAACGTAGTAATATTGAATAATCATTAGTAAAGAAAAGTAAAGCGCACAAATAACATATTGCACTTTAAAAAATCTACGGTGATTTTTGATTAAAGGAATTCACACACACACACACACTCAGTTTCGTTCTATTTCCAGAAAATCAACTCCCAGTCATTTATATTTCGTTTAGATCGTTTAGAAACAACAGTTTGCATCAATCTAGTTTCGCAACTTTGAAAACTTGTTGCATAAAATTCAACAAACGGAACAGATCTCCACATTTCGATATTTATAAGGCGACTGTTTATGTTTTAAACAAAACAGATGGCTTCTCAACGAAAATAAATACCTTTGCTTTAATATAAGTAGTGAGTAATACCAATATGAAGAGGCAGACCGAAGAGATTGTAAACACCTTATTAACGTGAGAGTGTCTATGTATCCGAAGCCTTATATGAATTATTAAAAAGGTGTATGATATTCATGAATATTATTCCCACGAAGGTGCGAAAAGTAGCTCATTAAGCAAGTTGATTTTTAAACTTCGACAATTTGTACGTTGCATTCCCTTTACGTTGGGATTAAAAATATTAAAATCCCGTGTTGTCGGTTTGGTCTGGTTTAAAAACTCGAGATTTTATTTTGAAAGTACGGGATTAGTGAACTGAAGTTATTTTTGTTGTGGCGTGAAGTGAAGATATTTTGAACAGCATACTCTTAAAAGGTCCGGACTCATTTTTTTTTAATATTTGTTAAATTTAACAAAGTCTATAATTGGTGTTTAAATTTATTTTTATAAGTACTTACTTTATAAGTAGTTTTGTCCGTCACCATGCGCCAGGGGGTCCAATCAATTGCCATCTACAATCAAAGAGGTTAGTCTTTGTAAGTGGGTATATTTATTTAAAAACCCTTAAAAGGGCTACATCAAAAAAACAAACGTTTTCGGACTAAACAGTCCATCATCAGGTTTAAAATCTGCTAGGTTAAAATTCCTGAGCCACCAAAAATACATGGGTAAAAACTCTTTAAATTACTTATAGTTATCAAAGATTATACATCTTGTTGTTAAAAAACTGTGATGTTCATTATTAAATTAAACTCAAAACTTTTTGCAATGTATGTTACCTGAAGTCATATTTAATTTAATAATGAACATCACAGTTTTTTAACAACAAGATGTATAACCTTTGATAACTATAAGTAATTTAAAGGGTTTTTACCCATGTATTTTTGGTGGCTCAGGCATTTTAACCTAGCAGATTTTAAACCTGATGATGGACTGTTTAGTCCGAAAACGTTTGTTTTTTTGATGTAGCCCTTTTAAGGGTTTTTAAATAAATATACCCACTTACAAAGACTAACCTCTTTTTTGTGATACGTGGTATACAGCCAGCTACAGGAATTGTTTTCCTTGTGGAATCTACAATCACTCTACTTAATTTTTTCTGTCTTCCTTATATTTTAGGCTAAGACGACAACAGAATAATATTTTAATCTGTTGTAAATACATCATAACCCATAAGTCACTTTTGTAGAGTTGTTGAACTTTTTGCGTAAAGACCTTTGTATAAAACCAGCGTAATTCTAGTTTGGCAATTTATTTGTTGGGAAAGCCTCGAGTTTTGTTTTATATTTTTTATCGGTCACCAAATTCGCAGCCAATATTTTAGCATCAACAATATTTCAAAAGAATTAAAAATTAATTTTTTAAAATAATAAACTTCTTGCATGAAAGGGCCGGTATTTTCACCTCCAGTTAAATGTAGTCCTATCGGA